AAAAAAAAAAAAAAAAAAGGAACATATAGCTTATTGGTATACTTGAACAGTTCCAAAGTGTTTGTTTATACACTGTTCAAAATACCATCCCTCAATAGGTGTCAGGACAATTGCAAAATTCAGTAAACAAAATCTTAATTCTAATAACTAAAAAATTCCAAAAATGCAACCCTAACCCTCCCTAACAGACTTTCTTATGTACTATCTGTCTTCCCCATTATAAACGTAAGCACCTCTAGGGGTAGGAATTTTGTCCAGTGCTATAGCTGGAGCACTTATAACAGTGTCCAGCATATAGATGTCACTCAAAAAAAAAAAAAAAAATTCCTGTTGAATGAATTACTAAATGGCTGTGTGAAGGGCAGGGGGAAGAAATATAGGGCTGAGGATGGAGGTGGTGGGAAATTTTAACTGCAGTTCTAATTTTTTAAATTTCCTTTATTTTTTAAAGTTTATTTTTGAGACAGAAAGGGTATGCATGTGAACTGGGGAGGGGCAGAGAGAATCCCAAGCAGGTTCCTCCCTGTCAGCACAGAGCCTGACATGGGGCTTGATCTCAATGAACCACAAGATCATGACCTGAGCCAAAACCAAGAGCAGGATACTTAACAGACTGAGCTACTCAGGTGCCCCAGCAGTTCTAATTTTTTAATATTTGAAAGATTTAAAACAAATATAGCAAAATGTTAAAGTTGAAATATTAGGTGGTAGAATATGGATGCTTTCTTTGGGGAAGGTATTCTTATGAATTTTAACAACTTCTTAAAACAAAAAGTAATGTATGCAAAACATTTAACAGTTTTCCAAGAAGGAAACAAAGATTAAGTGACTTACTCAAAGTCGGTGATTAGCAAGTTGCTGAGGAGGGGGACCCAAAATCCAGTTTTCTAAGTCTTTTTCCCCAAAGTGGGGCACAGTAGGTGCTGTATATTAAATCACATTATTATTAAATCATGTTATTAATGGTATGTACTTACCTATATAGTGCTGCATAATATCGATCTGATATTGTCTGCTGAGAATTCATTACTTGAAAAAGCAACATTAAAGCCTGGACGCTGGTATTAAAATTCACAACATGTAGCACTTTAAAGAGTGTGTCAACCTGCTCCCTCACTTTGTCATCACCAGTCTGGGCATAAGGGTATGCTCTATTTACTCCTGTTAAAAGGGCACTAAGCATTTTTGATTCAATATCTTTTTTCTTGATACAAGTCCGAAAAAAACAAAAATAAAGAGTAATTAATTTGTTAGCTAATTCACTTTCTTCATGGGAAAGGACCATTTGATTTAAAAAGCAAATTGCATAATATTGGGCTTTGGAGCTGATATTTGAGCGAAAGAGCAGTCTTTCTACTTCGCCACATACAACTCCTTTCATATTTGGATGTTTAGAAAGCAAGGTCTCTAACAGATGGGAGGCTTTTGTGGCTATTCTGTTCTGAGGATCTCCCAGTTTATTTACCACCTGCACAAGAAGAGCCTTTTCTTCCTCTGGTTTGTTGCAGAGAAGTTCATGAGCTACCACAAGGGCTCGAGTTTTAGTGGCCACTAATGAATCATGACTTAAAGTTTCTAAGACCTGCACAAATTCAGCCACTAAATGTTTCAGCTGGTGTTCAAAATACCATAATATCAGCCTTCTATCTCTTGAGTCCTTGTTGCCACTGGACAACTGTTCCAGTTTGTTGAAAGGATGCTGGCTGAAAATCCGTAGTTTCCGACTGTCTGGCAAAAGGTCTGTAATCAGTAACTCTTTGAAAGTATCCAAAGCCATGAGGCACTGCTGTTTGCTACCCTTCTTTTTAACAAGGCTCACAAGAGTTTCTACAAACTGCAGTGTGTGAATAGCATCATCCTGAATAAGAAGAATCATGGCTGCCATCCTGTCACCTAGCGTCCCTGACGACACAATTGCCTTCATCCAGGTAGAAGCAGCTCCCTTTTGATTATTTGTCTTATTTTTGAATAAGTTGATTTCATGCTCATACAATTTCTGAGCTAAGGTTTTGTACTGAGACACAACATCCCGAGGCTGGGGTTCCAAAGAATACTCGTTGCTGTATTCTAGATCATACCATTTGCCTCCAGGCTTGAGCAACAATGTCTGTCTCTCACAAAATTCAAAGATGTCCTGTTGTTTATCTTTCTTAACTTTTGGTGTGGCACTGTTGTTCTCACCAGAATGCTGTTCTGGCCTCTTCTTATTCTTCACCTTACCGAGTGATGTCCTTTCACTTTCTGCTGCGTTTTGCTTTTTTTTATCTACTTCAGATTCGCTTGCTTTTTTGCTGGCATTTTCTTTTTTAGCTGGTTCATCTTCTTCAACTAAGAAAGCTTTTGCATACTTGGCCAAACTAAGATTTTGAATAAATGCTTCTAATTCACCTTGCTGAAGGTCATCAATTGCTCCTTTTTTGCCTCCATCCACCACTTCCTCATTTTCATCCAAGGTAGCCAGCATAAGGTAATCTTGCTGCATTAAAACATAAGAAAGTTTAAATTACAAATCCAACAGTTTAGGTAAGTTTCAAAAGTTAATTTGAAATCTGTATCTTCAAAAGCAATTAAATTCAATTACCATGGTATTGCCTGGGCTCCCACCCCACAACCAAATAAATACTTGATGAATTAAAGATTTATGTGAAAAATAAAACCATAAATAGGAGGATGCACACTGTAATTCAAATAATTTCAGAGTAGAGAAAATCTTTCCAAATCTGACATACACTGCAGGCCTTTAAAGGCAAAGATGGGTATGATTGTCATTCACAGAAAACATGCAAAAGTCAAAACACAAATACGGGGAAAAAAGTAATGGCAACTGACATCAAAGTAATTGGGCTTAATATTTAATACAAAAGTTCCTACGTGTCAATTAAGGAAGTGACAACCAAAAAGAAAGATTTGCAAAGGATATAAACAAGTGGTTCACAGAGAAAAATGTATTTTTTTCAAAATATGAAAGGATGCTCAACCTCACTGACATTAAGAAAAATCCAAATTATGGGGTGCCTGGGTGGCTCAGTTTGTTGGGTATATCTGGCTTTGGCTCAGGTCATGGTTTCACGGTTCATGGATTCGAGCCCCATGTCAAATGAATCTGTACTGTTAGCATACAGCCTGCTTCAGATCCTGTCTCCCTTTCTGCCTCTACCCTGCTTGTGTGCACTCTCTCCCCAAAATGAATAAAACATTAAAAGAAAAACAGGATTTAAAACCACCACGATTTTTTAATGTGTCAGATGAGCAAAGATAAAATTATGACAGCTGGTGCTGGGGAGAGTGTGAGGAACAGGCATTTTCCTACATGGTTGATGGAAATGCAAACTAGCACAACCTCTACAGAGAGCAATTTGCTACCTTCAAATCAAAATACAAGACACACTTCCTTTGATCCAGCGGTTCCATTTCTATCAATTTGGGTTATACATAACACTTACAATGTGGGAAAGGATTTATTTTCAAGGTATTCACTGAAGCATTATTTAAGATAGCAAAAAGTTGACAACCCACAATAAATGGCTGGTTAGACAGATTAAACAACGATTTATGCAGGCATAAAACCAATAAAACCAGTGACACAACTGCATATACTGATAGGGAAAAATCTTCAAGACAGCAAGAAAAAAAAACCACACAAAATATTATACAATATGGTATCTTTTGTGTAAAAAAGAACCTGTGTTGTGTGTTTGCTTGGAAGATATCCAAGACACATAAAAATAATGGAAAGGAAATTGCATGGCTGGACATAAAAGCGGGAAAGACGACTTTTTACCGTGTACTCCTCCTTTTTAAGAGAACCTTTTTGTAACATCGGAAATATTATATATTCAAAAATTAAGTACAGGGAAAATTGTGAATCTGCCCCTGTAAAGTGCATTTCTCCTGCCCCCATGTCTCCCCCTCCCCAAGCTATAGTCTCAAACATTTACTAAAAAAATAAGCTAAATTCTGCCAGGTATTTGCTCCAAACCTTTTAAGGTTTTCCATCAAACCCAGGGACAGGCCTACATTCTTACCTTTCTTACTTCATTTCTTACACTCTCTCTTACCTCACTGGGCCTCAGCTACACCTGACATTTTTGTAGTTCAGAGAGCAGCATGGCTCACTCCTTTCTTTCCTAGTTTTATGCCTAAACATCTCCGTGATGAGTTCCCCGATCACCTCATGTGAAACTGTTACGCCCTTCCCACTAATTACCCTCTTTTCTGATTTTCTTTTTCTCCGTGGCACTACTCAGCATCCGACGTTCTATGCATTCAAAAGTTGGTTACCGTTTCTTTTCCTTAATTAGGATGTAAATTCCGAGAGCGCAGAAGGCTTCTAGAGCGCACAGTAAACACGTGCATGTATTCCGTGAGGACAGAAGTTAACGTTCCAACCGCACTGGAGTACAGAACACTGATGCCACGATGTCAGGACCCAAAAAAGGTCAGTCCTCTCTGACCTTATGGAGTGCCAATTATCCATCAGTGAAAATGAGTGACCTACATCCTAAGAAAGGCCATAGCGTAAACACGTTCAATTCTAAAGCACTCTTCTCTCGTAGAGAGCAGTAGAAAAGAAGTGCAGGAAGGGCACAACACAGTTTCGAAGCTGGAATCAGGGTTCAGGACACCCTCCCACGCCACTCGCCGGATCACTTGCGAGACCACCCCGGGCGCCTGTGTCCCCTTGTCTGAGTCCGAGGCCATTACCTTGGTGCCTCCAAGCCGTAATACTTCCTCCAGAGAGAACCCATTTTCGGCTTCATCGTTATCCTCTTCGCTGTCCTCGTCCGGATCTTCTACCGCCTCCTCTCCGCCCCAGGGCCGCTTGGCATGGAACTCCAAAGGCTTCCTGGCGGCCGCCATTACCAGCACAGCACGCGCAAACAGCCCAGAGCCTCTTTTCGTTTGCCTCAGTGACGTACTTCCTACAGGGGCGGGCCCTCTCCCGGAAATGGCTTTACTCCACACCCCGGGACTGCGCGCTGCAGCCTGCGAAGTTCGGCATGAGAGTCCTTGCAAGGGTAGGCGTGGGGCCGCTGTGCTCCGCGGCTCGCGCGGGTAAGCGTTCGCCTCGCCAGAGCCCCGGTTGCGGTAGAGACTGTCTGGGGTGCCTTCCTCAATTGGGCGCTCCTGGGGTGCAGGACGCCTCTTGGGGGTTTTGAGGTGCAGACGAGTCCAGCCTCAGACCCCAAATGGCTGGTCGCGGGCACTGTGCGTTCCTGCCGGCGCCTGGTGGGCTTGCTTCGTGCGAGGTTAAGAGTTAACGCAGCTGCTTCGGAAGCACTCAGGCTGCTTGCACTTGCAAAGAAATTAAGATTTTTTCATGGTCCCGTTTAACTGTTTTTCCGCAGTCATTCCCTGGTTTTGGAGAGGGAAATACTTCAGTTCCGGGAGAGAGTCGGCAGAAAACCAGGTGACACCAATGCTGCGGCATCTTATGTACAAAATCAAAGCAACTGGCCCCATCACTGTGGCTGAGTACATGAAGGAGGTCTTGACCAACCCCGCCAAGGTACCAGTCGGGGAGCCCGAGGACCAGGCCCTGCTCTAGTGGCCTTGAGGTGTGAGCCAGGAGGGGTGTGCACAGGGAAGCCCCAAGTCCAGGCAGCGGTGGTGCCTTCTGCAGGGGAAGAGCCACTCCCACAGACCTGGAGATGGAGAATTAGTGTCAGGTGGTTAGGGATGGATCAAGTCAGTGGCAGTGCCATAAAGAAGAGAGAACGAATTCCAAAGCTGTTCAGGAGGCAGTGTAACCCACTGAATTTAGGAAATGAGGATGTCTTTCCTACCTGGGCTGATTGATGGTAGCTGGTGGTATCATTTCTCTGGGAGAAGGGAATGTAGAAGGAGAAAGAGCAGTAGCCTCTTTAAGAGGGAGGGAAAGGACAGAATTCAATCCAATGTATGAACCTGAAGTGCAGACAGGACTTAAGTGGAAATCTACAATAGGCATCTGGAATTATGAATTTAGTCCTGGAACTTTGTCTGTGTTGGGATGGCATTAGCAGGCATTGGAAGCATATTCTGGGTTTCCTTTTTGGGAATGGAAGGTCTAGGTCTTTACGCTTCAAGGATTAAGCACTGCCCCTGCTCTCTGTCCTGGATTTCCTTCTCTGCTCAACAAAGCCACTTGGTGAAAGCTGGGGTCCTTTTGGTTTAGAATGTATTACCTGTTGATGGGTCGAAATATGAAATCTGGACTTCTGGGGTTTGTTTGGCCTATTGCTGTTGGATGTGGTGAAGGCAGGGATCCTTTCATACCTGTACTCAGTGCTACCACATACCAACAGTTCACATAGGGAGAGACTTTAGAACAAACATCTGTGTGTTAGAGTGAGGGTTCATTCATCATTGATTCAGGCTCCAAAAGGGCCAGGCACTATCTCAGGCACTGGGAATACTGCAGTGGACAGTGGAACATGGCACTTATGTTCTAGTGAGGAAATGATCTATAAATAAGGAAACAAGATAATTATAAATTGTTGCAAGTGCTTCTGAAGGCAAGGAAAAGAAGAAAAAAAAAAAAACCTCAACGGGTTGGTGGGGTTGAAAATAAGTGGTGCAGTGGGAGTAGGGGTTGTAAAAGTTCCCTTGGTAGGTAGGTGGCCAGGAAAGGCTAGATGGTTGAGATGGGCCAGCCTGGCCAAGAACTGGGAGTGAGTCCCCGATGGAGGAAGGGGAAGTACAAAGTTTTAGAGCTGGCCAATGTCTTGGCATTCACAGGGAAAAAAAAGGCACCAGTATGGCTGGTGGGTGGTGACTGGGTGTGGCAGGTAATGGTGAGGAAAGTAGATGAGTTTGAGGGAGGAGCCAGTTCATTCAAGGCTTTCCTGGAATTTAGACTTTTGTGTTAGTGCAAGGGGAGAACATTAGGAGGTGCATTTGATGCACATTGGTGATGACATCCAGGCGGAGACAGCAAGTGAGCAGCTGGCTGTAAGGGTCTAGAGTTCTTGAGAAAGATTGGATATGCATATATTAATTTGTTCACCAGCGTATGGATGGTGTTAAAATCCAAGGAATCTGAAAGAATATATTTAGAGAACCGAAGGTTACCCCGGATTAAGCCTTGAGGAAACTCTTTGAATTTAGAGTAAAGGCTTTTTTTTTTTTTAATCAGCCTTAATTTTTATTTAAAATTTGTTAAACCTTTTTTTTTTAATTGGAGCATAGTTGATACAATGTCCCAGTAGTTTCAGGTGTACAACATGGTGATTTCGATGACTGTACCTTATACTATGCTCACCACAAACGTAGCTACCATTTGAAAGTAGAGTTTCTTAACCTAGGGATCCTTGAATAGAAACGGGGCTGTGACCTTGGATGGGAATAAAAATTACACCATTTGCATTAGCTTCTTTTTTTCCCCCCATTTTTACTGAGAAATTATTGATGTACGTCACTGTATAAGCTTAAGGGGTACAGCATGATGGCTTGATGTGCACATGTTGTGACATTACCACAGTGAATTCAGTTAATATCCACCTTATGTAGATACATTAAGAAGAAAGGAAACAAAAAGGGAGAAAAATTTTTGTCTTGTAATGAGAACTCTTAGGATTTACTTTTTTTTTTTAATTTAATCTTTTGTTTTTTAAAATTTACATCTAAACTAGTTAGCATATAGTGAAACAATGATTTCAGTAGATTCCTTAGTGCTCCTTACCCATTTAGCCCATCCCCCCTCCCACAACCCCTCCAGCAACCCTCAGTTTGTTCTCCATATTTATGAGTCTCTTCTGTTTTGTACCCCTCCCTATTTTAAATTATTTTTGTTTCCCTTCCCTTATGTTCATCTGTTTTGTCTCTTAAAGTCCCCATGTGAGTGAGGTCCTATGATTTTTGTCTTTCTCTGACTAATTTCACTTAGCATAGTACCCTCCAGTTCCATCCACGTAGTTGTAAATGGCAAGATTTCATTTATTGCTTGCTAATACTACATTGAATACATATACCACATCTTTTTTTTTCTTTTCTTTTTCTTTTTTTTTTTTTTTTTACCACATCTTCTTTATCCATTCATCCTTTGATGGACATTTGGGCTCTTTCCATACTTTGGCTATTGTTGATAGTGCTGCTATAAACATGAGGTTGCATGTGTCCCTTTGAAACAGCACACCTGTATCCTGTGGATAAATGCCTAGGAGTGCAATTGCTGGGTCGTGGGTAGTTCTATTTTTAGTTTTTTGAGGAACCTCCATACTGTTTTCCAGAGTGGCAGCACCAGCTTGCATTGCCACCAACGATGCAAAAGAGATCCTCTTTCTCCACATCCTCGCCAACATCTGTTGTTGCCTGAGTTGTTAATGTTAGCCATTCTGACAGGTGTAAGGTGGTATCTCATTGTGGTTTTGATTTGTATTTCCCTGATGATGAGTGATATTGAGCATTTTTTCATGTGTCGGTTGGCCATCTGGATATCTTCCTTGGAGAAGCGTCTTTTCATGTCTTTTGCCCATTTCTTCACTGGCTTATTTGTTTCTTGGGTGTTGAGTTTGATATAGATTGTAGAAAACTGTAGATTTTCGATACTAACCCTTTATCTGATATGTCATTTGCAAATATCTTCTCCCATTCTGTCGGTTGCCTTTCAGTTTTGCTGATTGTTTCCTTTGCTGTGCAGAAGCCTTTTATTTTGATGAGGTCCCAGTAGTTCATTTTTGCTTTTGTTTCCCTTGCCTCTGGAGACGTGTTGAGTAAGAAGTTGCTGTTGTCAAGATCAGAGAGGTTTTTGCCTGCTTTCTCCTTGAGGATCTTGATGGCTTCCTGTCTTACATTGAGGTCTTTCATCCACTTTGAGTTTATTTTTGTGTATGGTGTAAGAAAGTGGTCCATGTTCATTCTTCTGCATGTCGCTGTCCGGTTTTCCCAGCACCACTTGCTGAAGAGACTGTCTTTATTCCATTGGATATTC